CGGGAGTGGCCAGGCTCGGAGCGGCCGGGCCCGGGGCAGCCGGGCCCAGAGCAGCCGGGTCAGGTGCGGCCAGGCCCGGAGCAGCAGCTGCCAGGCTGGGAGCGGCCAGGCCCGGGGGAGCAGGCGGGGCTGGTGCGGCCAGGCCCGGAGCAGCGGCTGCCAGGCTGGGAGCGGCCAGGCCCGGGGGAGCAGGCGGGGCTGGTGCGGCCAGGCCCGGAGCAGCGGCTGCCAGGCTGGGAGCGGCCAGGCCCGGGGGAGCAGGCGGGTCGGGTGCGGCCAGGCCCGGAGCAGCGGCTGCCAGGCTGGGAGCGGCCAGGCCCGGGGGAGCAGCCGGGTCGGGTGCGGGCAGGCCCGGAGCAGCGGCTGCCAGGCTGGGAGCGGCCAGGCCCGGGGGAGCAGGCGGGTCGGGTGCGGCCAGGCCCGGAGCAGCGGCTGCCAGGCTGGGAGCGGCCAGGCCCGGGGGAGCAGGCGGGTCGGGTGCGGCCAGGCCCGGAGCAGCGGCTGCCAGGCTGGGAGCGGCCAGGCCCGGAGCAGCAGCAGCCAAGTCCAGAGCAACTAGGTCGGGAGCGGCAGTGACCAGACCCGGAGCAGCTGGTTGTGGAATGAACCAGAGCAACAGAGGCCAGGCCCTGAGCAGCCAGGCCCAGAACAGCTCGCTCCTTGCCTGCCCTTGCCCCACGGCTGCTTCTCAGACATGGCTGGAAACTTTCGTGGGAACTTGAGGGTCTGCTGAATCAAGTGATGAAGGCTTAGATCTGGATGTGTTGAGTTAGTTTAGGACTGGGGTGTTGATCTGTGAGTGCCTTGGGTGGGGCCTGGATGAGACTGGTGGACCTATTGGGAAATGTCTTTTGTGTGAAGTGTATCATTGGGCATGTGGAGGTATTATTGATATGAGAAAATGCTAAGTAACTGATTTACTATCTGAAAAGGGATTTACTATTGGGGAAATTGAGGGAAGAAGAGACTGAACATAAACTGCACCTATGGATGAGGACAATGGGGGATGGGGGGGGGGACAGAGGGTGGGGTGGGAACCTGGTGGAGGGGGGAAGAAATGAGGAACCTTTGTAATAATATGAACAATAAAGATTGATTTAAAAAAAAAAAAAAAAAAAAAAAGAAAGAATACAAAGAAGTTCTTGAAAAATCAAAGACTAAGTCAGAACTCAACTCAACAGCCAACATTGCAACATAAATGCATTTTAAAAAAGAAAAGAAAAAAAAAAGGACAGAATGTTGGAACAGCGGCGGCCAGGCCTAGAGTGGCCAAGCACAAGGCAGTGGCAGCCAGGCCTGGAGCAGCAACGGCCAGGCCCCAGAGCAGCAGCAGCCAGAATCAGAGCATCAACAGCCAGCACTGGAGCAGCCAGACCTGGGCAGTAGCAGCCAGGCCTGAGGCGGAGGCGGCCAAGCCCAGGGTGGCCAGTTCAGGAACAACCAGACCCAGAGTGGCCGGGCCCGAAGAACCCAGGCCCAGAGCAGCCGGGGTGGGAGCAGCCAGACCCAGAACAGCAGTAGCCAAGCCCAGAGCATCCAGGATAGGAGTGCCCAGGCTCGGAGCGGCCGGGCCTGGGGCGGCCGGGCCCAGAGCAGCCGGGTCGGGTGCGGCCAGGCCCGGAGCAGCGGCTGCCAGGCTGGGAGCGGCCAGGCCCGGGGGAGCAGCCGGGTCGGGTGCAGCCAGGCCCGGAGCAACGGCTGCAAGGCTGGGAGCGGCCAGGCCCGGGGGAGCAGCCGAGTCGGGTGCGGCCAGACCCGGAGCAGCGGCTGCCAGGCTGGGAGCGGCCAGGCCCGGGGGAGCAGCCGGGTCGGGTGCGGCCAGGCCCGGAGCAGCGGCTGCCAGGCTGGGAGCGGCCAGGCCTGGGGGAGCAGCCGGGTCGGGTGTGGCCAGGCCCGGAGCAGCGGCTGCCAGGCTGGGAGCGGCCAGGCCCGGAGCAGCAGCAGCCAAGTCCAGAGCAACTAGGTCGGGAGCGGCAGTGACCAGACCCGGAGCAGCTGGTTGTGGCATGAACCAGAGCAACAGAGGCCAGGCCCTGAGCAGCCAGGCCCGGAACAGCTCGCTCCTCTCCTGCCCCTGCCCCACGGCTGCCTCTCAGACATGGCTGGAAACTTTCGTGGGAACTTGAGGGTCTGCTGAATCAAGTGATGAAGGCTTAGATCTGGATGTGTTGAATTAGTATAAGGCTGGGGTGTTGATCTGTGAGTGCCTTGGGTGGGGCCTGGATGAGGCTGGTGGACCTATTGGGAAATGTCTTTTGTGTGAAATGTATCATTGGGCATGTGGAGGTATTATTGATATGCAAAAATGCTAAGTAACTGATTTACTATCTGAAAAGGGATTTACTATTGGGGAAAGGGAGGGAAGAAGAGACTGAACATAAACTGTGCACCTATGGATGAGGACAATGGGGGATAGGGAGGGGGCGGAGGGTGGGGTGGGAACCTGGTGGAGGGGGGAAGAAATGAGGAACCTTTGTAAAACTATGAACAATAAAGATTGATTAAAAAAAAAAAAAAAGTGGGCAAAGGACCTAAATAGACACTAATCCATAAAGGACATACAGATGGCCAAGGGACATGAAAAAGTGCTCAAAGTCACTGATCATCAAAGGTGCAAATTAAAATGACAATGAGGTATCACCTTACACCTGTCATAATGGCTCATCAACACATCAACAAATGACAAGTGCTTGTGAGGATGTGGAGAAAGGGACTATAAGTACACTGCTGGTGGGAATGCAGACTGTGCAGTCATTATGGAAAAGAATATGGAGTTTCCTCAAAAAATTAAATATGGAACTGCCATTTGACCCCATAATCCCACTTCTAGGAATACACACTGAGTGGCCAGATTATTATGACCTCTGAATGCACAATAATCTGGCCACTCAGTGTGTGTGTGTGTGTGTGTATATATATATATGTGTGTGTGTATATATATATATATATATATATATAAATTTACATATATAGTTATACACACACACACACACACACACACACACACACATTAGAGGCGTGGTGCATGAATTCGTGCATGGGTGGAGTCTAGCCAGCCTGGCCAGGGGGAAGGGACATGGGACATGGGCGGTTGGCCAGCCTGCCTGCGCTGGTCGAACTCCTGGTCAAGGGGACAATTTGCATATTAGCCTTTTATTATATAGGATATACACTGAGTGGCCAGATTATTATGCATTCAGAGATCATAATAATCTAGCCACTCAGTGAATACTAAGAAATCTGAAACACCAATTGGAAAGAATGTATGCATTCCTATGTTTATAACAGTATAATTTATAATAGTAAGATCTGGAAACAACCCAAGTGTCCATCAGTAGATGAGTGGATAAAAAATTATGGTACATTTACACCATGGAATATTATGCAGCAGTAAGAGAGAAGAATCTCTTACCCTTTGAGACAGCATGGGAGGGATCTGGAGAGTATTATGCTAAGTGAAATAAGCCAGTCAGAGAAAGACAAGTATCACATGATCTCACTCATATGTGAAACCTAATTAATAAAATAAACATATTAACAAAATAGATTTAGAGACATAGAAGCATGGAACAGAAAGAAAGTCAAATCTCAGACAGAAAGTGGGGGTAGGTAGAAAGAAATCAATCAAAGAACTTGTATGTGCATATACATAACTCTAGGACACAGACAATAGAGTGGTGAAGGCCAAGGAGGGAACAGCAGAATGGGTGTGGCCTAGAAGGGTCAATGGCAGAAAAACGGGGACATGTGTAATACTTTCAACAATAAAGACTGAGGGGGGAAAAAAACCATGAAAACGAATGAACAAACAAAAGCATACAACTTAACAAGCAAATAATCCAATTAAAGATGGGCACAGGACCTGAACTGTCCCCAAGAAGACATACAAATGGCCAACACACATATGAAGAGATGCTCAACTTCACTAGCTATAAGGGAAATTCAAATAAAATCCAAAATGAATTACCATCTCATAGCTGTTTGGATGGTTACTAGCAATAAGATAAGAAAAAAAAGAGTTGGAGAGGATGTGGAGAAAAAGAAACCTTTATATATGGCTGGTGGGAATGTATCTATTACAAGAAATAGATATTCAAAAAATTAAGATTAGGCATGATTATCTAACTATCATGCTGTACATCTAAAACTAATACAGAATAATAATGAATGTAAACTATAATTAAACAATTTTTTCAAAATTTAAAAATAGAGCTACCATACTCAATAATCCCTCTTTTGTGTATCTACCTGAAAAATTTGAAAACACTTATTCATAAAGATATATGTACCCTTATGTTCATTGTACAATTATTTACGGTGTCCAAAACATGAAAACATCTAGTAAGTGCCCTTCAATGGATGCTTGGATAAAGACAATGTGGTACATATATACAATGGAATACTACTCAGCCACAAGAAAGGATGAAATGCTGCCATTTGCTATAACATAGATGAATCTTGAAAATATCACACTAAGCAAAATAAGTCAGATGAGAAAAGACCATATTATTTCACTCATATCTGGAGTTATAAAATAAATCTACAAAGAAAAAAAAATAAACTCATAAACACAGAAAAACAGAAGGATGATTATTCAGAAGGGAAGAGGAGGATGAAGAGAGCAAAGGGGGCAAGTATATGGTGAACAGAGGAAGAACTGACTTTGGGTGGGGAGCACAAAATGCAATTTATAGATTCTGTATTATAGAATTACACACTTGAAACTTGTATAATGTTATCAACCAATGTTAGCCCAATAAATTTAGTAAGAAATTCATGTTCTGGACAAAAAAAGGAAAAAATTCATGTTTAAATACTAAATGAACTTTTCACCTAACAAGTGACTAGAGAATGTTTCAAAACATGATGAGAGGGAATAATAATCTGTTATTTTCTTTTTTAGAAAATCATATATAAGTTACAGAAATATCTTGCTTGCATAAGCAAAAAACTAACCTGAAAGGATATACTAGCTTTTAAGTCTATGCTAATAATGTTACCTTTCATCTTTCAGCCAAATTTCATCCATTTTTTCTTGCCATTTCTCCGGTGGTGCTTCCAACCAAGCATTGAAATATCTGACAATGCCTGGGTGTTCCAGCTTGGCTAAGGCTTTAACTTCTCGCATTACCTTCTCCCGAGCCAATTCCCTTTAAAAAAAAAATAATAAAAATAAAGAAGATATGTTTAGAGTTTTGTTTTGTTTTTTGCTATAAGTATGTCTATTGCTTCATTTAATTTTTTTTTTAAAGCTGTCCTGGCTCACTAAAAATGGATGACTACAGACCTTTAAAGATTATTGCTTAATGTTTTTTAATGAGCAGGAAGGTGTTTAGAAACAAAATTAAGTATTCAGAAAACAGAGCTCAGGAGGATGGAGAACGACCACCCAACAGGGAGCATATTACAATCCAAAAAGCTTGTCCAAGCATGTTTGTTTAAAGCAAGTCTCAACCACTGACTATCACGGCATGAAGTTTAACTTAAAAGCATCTGGATTTAAAATTTGCTGGGACAGCTTTTCAGATAGTTGTAATCTCATATTTCTAAGGATCCTACTCTCACCTGAAACAATATAAGTACAAATTATATTCTATTCCTATCCCAGGAGGTGGTCAGCTACTCCCACTTTTCTCCTGTGCTTTGTGATTGCTGTCCGAACTCTGAAAATCCTGGTATGCCTCTGAATTCAACTTTTAGGTCCTCACATTCAGCTAGTTATCAAATTCAATTAGCTCCTCCTTTTCAATTCTTTACACTCATTCCTTTCTCATCTGTCCCCACTGCTGTTGTACTAATGTTCTATATCTTAAGACTAAACTTTTGCAAAAATAAATCTCCTAACATTCTCATCTATGAACTTTTCCTCATGTCAACTATCTACACACCCTCTCCAGAGTCACCTCCACTTTGAGCACGTCATTCTTCTGTTCAAAGACACAACTGTCTATGAAATGAAATCTAAACTCCTTTGCTTGACATTTAAGGTGCTCCAAACCATCTTTTCTATCTTCTCTTCCACCCCACTTCTTACCTTTTGTTCCACCCTTGCCAGAACACTCCCTGGTCCTTTACCACCTAAGTCCCAGCCTACAGCCTTTGCTCAGGCCTCTTCATGTATTTGGCCATCCTTCCCCTACACATCTGGCTACTGAGGGACAGGCTACTCTTTTCTTTTTTTAATACATACATATGTATACATGCATACATATATATGTATATATCGCCTATCTAATAAAAGAAACATAAAATTGCCATATCTCCATTATACTCACAAGCCACGCCCACCAGACAATCAGGATCAAGTATGCAAATTAGCCCAACCAAGATAACAGCAGCCACAGAGCTGGAGCCAGCTGGAGCCTTGGGTTGTCCCAGATGATGGAAGAAGCCAAGCTGCACTCAACCCTGACCTGCCCTGGCCTCTGCTTAAGGCTACAAAGTTTCAATTATAGAAGATAAATCCCAGATACCTGGTTTCAGATTATGCTTGTTTCACCAGTGGGTGTGGCTGGCCTACAAACCACCACAGGCCCCTCGCCCAGACCACTCCACGCCCCAAGGGTACCCCGTCCCTGATCCAGGACACCCTTCAAAGCAAACCAGCTGGCTCCCACCCGTGCACCAGGCCTCTATCCTATCTAATAAAAGAGTAATATAAAAATTGACTGTCATTTCAACACACAAGATGGCTGTCACAAGATGGCCAGCAGGGGAGGGCAATTGGGAAAAACCAGGCCTGCAAGGGAGCGCAGTTATGGGCAATCAGGGCAACAGTAGAAGGCAGTTGGGAGGGACCAAGACTACAAGAGAGGGCAGTTGGGGGCGATCAAGCTGGCAGGGAAGGGCACTTGGGAGAGATCCAACCCTGTGGGGGAAAGCAGTTGCGGGGGGACCAGGCCTGAAGGGAAGGTGGTTGGGGGGGGACCAGGCCTGCAGGAGAGGACAGTTAGGGGACACCAGGCTGGCAGGGGAGGACAGTTAGGGGCAATCGGGCTGGTAGGGGAGCAGTTAGGCATTAATTAGGCTGGCAGGGGAGTGATTAGGGGGGTGATCGTACTGGCAGGCAGAAGTGGTTAGGGGCAACTAGGAAGGCAGGCAGGCGAGCAGCTGGGAGTTAGCAGTTCTGGATTGTGAGAGATATGTCCGACTGCCCTCAAGGGGTCCCAAATTAGAGAGGGTGCAGGCTGGGCTGAGGGACACCCCCCCCATCCAACCCCCCGTGCACAAATTTCATGCACTGAGCTTCTAGAGTGTGTGTGTGTGTGTGTGTGTGTGTGTGTGTGTGTGTGTGTGTGTAAATAATTTATTTTAAAGAAGGAAGAGAGAGAAAGAAACATCAATGATGAGCAAGAATCATTGATAGGCTTCTCCTATACACCCCTTACTGGGGATTGAGCCTGATACCCAGGCATGTGCTCTTGATTGGAGTTGAATCCAGGACTCTTCAATCTGAAGGACAATGCTCTATCCACTAAGCCAAACCAGCTAGGGCAGAAAGAACACTCTCTTGAATATTCGGCACAGATGTCACTACCCCCATAAAGCTTGTCTTCCTTGACTCTCATTCAGCTACATTTTTACTTTTTTTCATGAGAAGATACTTACTTAGCCAAGTCATGGGTCACAATCTTCCTTGCATTGTAATTATTTTTTTAAATATATTTTATTGATTTTTTACAGAGAGGAATAGAGAGGGATAGAGAGTTAGAAACATTGATGAGAGAGAACCAAGGTACATGCCCTTAGTACATGCCAACCAAGGTACAGTCCACAGGCCGATACTCTATCCACTGAGCCAAACCGGTTTCGGCTCATTGTAATTATCTGAGTACATATACAAAAGCCTCAAATAGTTATAGGTTCTTGAACACAGAAGCCTTTCCTATGTGGTGCCTTGCACATGTAAATATTTAAACTACTCAACAATTATACACCAAAGAAAGGCATTAGTTCTACAGTATCAAACCATTCCATTCCCGTGTCCCTATCTGTTGGACAAACATCCAACTACCAGTTAGGACAGTTCAGTAATTAGTACACATTTAATCAAGAACCCATACTAAGCCAAAACCGGTTTGGCTCAGTGGATAGAGCATCAGGCTGCAGACTGAAAGGTCCCAGGTTCGATTCCGGTCAAGGGCATGTACATTGGTTGCAGGCACATCCCCAGTAGGCAGCTGGTCGATGATTCTCTCTCATCGATGTTTCTAGTTATCTATCCCTTCCTCTCTGTGAAAAATCAATAAAATATAAATAAGGAAAAAAATGTAAAAAAAAGAATCCATACTAAGTGAAATAAGCCAGTCAGAGAAAGATAAGCACCATTATGATTTCACTCATCTGTGAAATCTAAAGAATTAAATAAGCTAACAAACAAAACAGAAAAAGACTCATAGATACAGGACTGACAACTGTTAGAGGGGAAGGGGTTTGGGGGCTGGGTGAAAAAGGTGAATGAACTAAGAAACAAATAAGAATCAACAACTCACAGATAGAGACAACAGTATGGTGATTATCAAAGGGGAAGGAGGTTTGGGGAAGGTAGAAGACAGTAAAAGGGGATAAATGGTGTTGGAAGGAGACTTGACCTGGGGTAGTGAATACACAATATATAGATAACGTATTATAGAATTGTACACCTAAAACCTATATAATTCTATTAGCCAATGTCACCCCAATAAAATTCGATAAAAATTTTTTTAAAAAGAAAAAGGAAAAAATCTATAGGAGTCTTCTATAATATGTGGAAAGGAAGGTATTTCTGAAAGCTCATCACTTAAGTATAACACTTTCTGAGTCAGAAATTTTACTTCTAGGAATCTGTTCCAAGGAAACAGATGTGACCAAATCCTATAAAATGAAAGCCTAATATGCTAAGTGTTCAGTCATCCATTCAACCAATCAAAGTGCAATATGATAATGATATGCTAAGGCCACTCAACTGCTCGATATGACATGCACTGACTACCAAGGGACAGACAGGTGACCAGTCCCTATGACATGTACTGACCACCAGGGAAGCAGACAGTCAACTGGTTAACCAGTCACTATGACGTGCACTGATCACCAGGGGACAGACACTCTGACTGGTAGGTTAGCTTGCTGCTGGGTTCCGGCTGATAGGGACTGAGTAAGACAGGCCGGACATGTCCTAGAGCTCTCCTGCGGTCCTTCCCCAGCTGGCCAACCTCTCACATCCCTCCCCACCCCTGATCATGCACCGGTGGGGTCCCTCAGCCTGGCCTGCACCCTTTTGCAATTCAAGATCCCTCAGGGAATGTCAGAGAGCTGGTTTCGGCTCTATCCTGCAGCATGCCAGGCTGAGAGACCTCACTGGTACACCAGGCCTCTAATATTTATATAAAAGATGAACACTGAAAAGTTATTTTTAATTGCACAAATTGGAAACTTAAATGCTGAACAATAACAAATGGTTAAACATAATATGGCACATGTATTAACTGGACTATTATCCAGCATTAAAATACTTTTAACGTATTTTAACATTTTACTAAAATACTAGTACTCTTTTTTTTTTTTTTTTAATATATTTTATTGATTTTTTACAAAGAGGAAGGGAGAGAGATAGAGAGCTAGAAATGTCGATGAGAGAGTAACATCGACCAGCTGCCTCTTGCACACCCCCTACCGGGGATGTGCCCGCAACCAAGGTACATGCCCTTGACCGGAATCGAACCCGGCACCCTTCAATCCACAGACCGACGCTCTACCACTGAGCCAAACCGGTTTCGGCACTAGTACTCTTATTAACATGAAAAATGCTGAGGATACAATGTAAGAGATTAAACTATTCTGGGTTGATAATTAGGTAAACTTATGATCAGGAAAAAAATCAAAAGGAAATATTTTTAAATGTTAATAAATGATATTGCTGAGTAGAAAAAAATAGAATTTTTTAATTTTAATACTTTTCCTAATTTTCCACAATAAATGATATTTTTAAATGATGCCATATATTAAAATTATAGTTACTATAATTCACTATAGGAAAATTATGAGTTGTTAAAAATAAAAAAGGGGGCACATTTTAAAAAGCAAATTCAAAACAACCAAAGTAGATCACATTTTTAAACAACTGGTTACATGGTAGCACTTAAAACATAAGATTCAGTAGTTTAGAAACTGTTTTCTATAGTCTCTCTGGAGTATAGTAAGGACATACTGTCTATAGATTAGGTATACAACTCTTAACTCCAAGTTGACTAAAAGTACCATTCATTACCTGTTGGGGAGACGGATTCTCTTGATAGCATAATTGCAGTCATCTACTTTGTTTCTAGCTTCAAAGACAACTCCAAACCCACCACGACCCAAGCACTGAATTGGTTCAAAATCTGTTAGATATCTAAAAAAAAATTAATTAAGTAGTTTTACATTTTATAGTACGATAATAATCAGTTCAATCTAACTTTGTGATATTTAAAATGTATAAATTCAGTAAATCTGCCAGAACATATTAATAAAAATTACAAATTCTACTAAATGCATTCTTTGTTCTTACGTTTGTATAAATTAAGCAAAAACATTCTAATTTTTTCCTTAGGAAACTTATAAAAATATAAAAGCTTCTGCTTCATTGGGAATACTTGTTAAGCCCTTGTTCTTAAAGCAATTGTAGTACTGTTCTGTCTTATCCAATATTTTTCATCTACCAAAATATTCTATCCTTACTTCTCTAACCTTTTACCTCCTGTAGTATTCTGTATTCAATTAAAAAATGTATCTTAATCTTATGCCAGTGCCTGATAGTTTTATGAACAAATCTAATCAATCCTATTACAATTAAGTACTTTTCAAGCCAGAAATTGCTCTAGGAACCAAAACAATCTATAATTGGCTGGGTTGCCTCATGAGCTGATATATGCTCATAGCTAAAAGTATTCAGACAGAAGGTAACTCACCATCAGTTACTTACAGATGGACCTCCATACTGTAGCCTATTTCCCCTTTGGTGCCCGACCTCACTTACCTGTACTGTATATTCCAACCAACTTCGTACCATGTCCTCTCACAATATCAGAGCTTTTCCTTATGCTATTTGTTCCACTGGGATGGCCTAATTCTTTGTATTCTTCCTTCATTCTGCTAATCTTCCTACACCCCAGACTTAATTGTTCTTCCAGCACTTTGCATATAGTACTTTGAACTATTTAAACTTAATCCCAACATTTTGCAGTTATTTGTATGCAGTTCACTCTCCCACTGCCACTGGACTGTGAGGACCTTGAACGCAGGAGCACATTCTCATTTCTCTTTATATTTTCAGAGCATGGGCTTACCTGGCAAATAGAAGGTCTAGCAAATATCTACTGAATAATGCATGAATAATCACTGAATGAATGAATGCGTGAATGCATGCTATGTTAGTTATCCTTCCAGCTACATGGAGGAAGAGTTGAATTAGGTCATATTTGATATCTCTTATAAGGCTAAATTTATGATTTAGCACACTCAAGTTAATTTAGTAGTTGGCTCAGCTGGTTAGAATATGGAGTTCATGAGTAAAGGTAATGGATTCCAACCTTCCATGGACCAATTACCTTCACAGAGAATGAAGAATAAAATTTGTACCCCTAAGAATAGCTAGTCAAGGTATTTCAGTACAAATCCATCTCCCCAACTGCAAAAGCCCATAAAGTTCATGTCCTACTCTTGGAGGGCCAATTGGATTACCTTCCTATGTTAGAGAAAACACCCAAATGGATATGTTTTCTGAAAAGAAAAACATCTTATATATGCTTATAGACCCTATAAATATATGTAACAGTTTGCCTAAGGTCCCAACTGATAAATGAAAAGTTGGGACTCAGACTCAGGACTGAATCCAGAACACATACTCTTAATAATGTAATATACTTGCAGCATACATTAAGTATTATTACAGAACTCATACATTTTTTTAAAAATCAGCTCTATTCTTCAAAATGAATAACATTAAAGGAAAATTAAGTCATTCAACTTAGGAATACATTATTCTAATTCTCTTCACAGCAGCCTTGAAAATATATTTATTCATCATATCTCACTCCTACTCCTGTTTCTTAACTACCTAACTTTTACCTATATATGATTTAAGCTTCAATTAAAATGTGGCCTCACAGCCTATCAATGATTTTCTCTCATCATTTATGTTTCTATCTCTCCATCTCCCTTCCTCTCTAAAATAAAATAAATAAAATAAAATAAAAATATATATTTAAAACTAGAGGCCTGCTGCATAAAAATTCATACACTGGAGGGGGGGCACTCGGCCCGGCCTGCCCCCTCTCACAGTCTGGGAGCCCTCTGGAGTGGGAGGCGACCCTGCGATCAGGGGAAGGCGAGGCCCCATCACACCTCTGCCGCTGCCACTGCCAGGAGCACAAGCCTCGACCAGACCTGGTTACCTGAGCCGTGGGCAGCCCTGGGCAGCTGGACAGCTATCATCCAAGACTTGCCTGCATCTTGGGCATCGGCTGGGCAGCCACCATTCAAGACTTGCCTGTGCTTCGGGCCGGCCCTGGGCAGCTGGGGGCTGAGAATATTGGGGGACTATGGAGGCAGGCGGGGCTGAAGGAACTGGGCACTGCCATCTTGTGGCTGTGGGCACTACCGTCTTTGAGGACATGGCAGTCAATTAGCATATTCCCTCCTTAATGGCTGTGGGCGCTGCCATCTTTGCAACAGCGTGAGGTTTAATTAGCATATTCCCTCTTTAGGAGATAGGATATGGCCTCATTTATGATGTCCTCTTGAATCATCACAACCAGAGTTAGTCACTTAGTTCATGACTTTTTCTCATATGTTTGTTTTTTTTACCCAGTATTACCTCCCCCATAGACTTTTAAGTTCCTCGAGGACAGGCTCTGTCTTTCTCTTTCTCTCAAAGCCTGAAATACTTTCCTGCACAGTATTCAAAGTAAATGCTAAATAAACAATGAATGGCTCCATGGCAGATTACCCATCAGGAGTTACTGGATCTTTTCTCTCGCTGTCCTTTTCTCACTGCCTACTGGTATTGCTGGCCACTGACAAAATAATCAGCATCTTCATTAGCAAGGGTCTTAAAATCCTTACCATTTGTTAGGCACTTAGTAAATTCTGCTTCAAGAAATTAGCAGTAAGCCTGGCTAGCGTGGCTCAGTGGTTGAGCGTCAACCTATGAACCAGGACACATGCCTGGGTTGGGGGGTTATTCCCCAGTGTGGGGTCTGTAGGAGGCAGCCGATCAATGATTCTCTCTCATCATTTGGTGTTGCTATCTTTCACTCCCTCTCCTCTCTGAAAGCAATTAAAAAGTTTTGTTTTTTTTTAAAGTAACTGGCAGTTAAACTTCTGTAACACTCTATTTCTATCCATTTTAAGGTATATCCCACTTTGTTTTTGTTTTTAAATATATATTTTTATTGATTTCAAAGATGAAAGGAGAAGGGGAGAGAGATAGAAACATCTATGATGAGACAGAATCATTGATCAGCTGCCTTCTGCACACCCCCTATTGGCATGTGCCCTGAACGAAATTGAACCGTGACCTCCTAGTTCATAGGTCGATGCTCGTTTGAATAAGTTTAAGTGACGGGAAGGTTGAGTCTACATTTTATTTACCTATTCACACATTAAAAAAAATATAAGCAAGATCTTACTTTTAGGTCATTTCTTAGATCTAAATAGTCGCCACCAGAAGCTACAGCATCCATACATATTTTATGACAAGATTCTTACCGTGATATATATCCAGAATTTTTTATGTCATTCCAGCTAGTATCATTAGCTTCTCCACTTACAGAATCATATTTATTTTCAGTTTGACATTGAGTTTCAGATTCCTTTCTTTGCTGATAAAATGGGGGGAGAGGGGAAATCACTATTAGTACAAATCTGAAGTAAAGCTAGCTAATTACCTTAAGCTATAAAATAACATTAAAAAACAAATAATATTGAGAAAAAGAAAAGCATTATAAGAACACAAAATACCACCTGTCCTTTGTGAAAGGAAGGGGAATAATAGGGTGGGAGCCATACTGCAATGGTTAAAGAGTAAACAAAAGATAAGAAAGTGGAAACAGCATGTGGGCAACAATGACTTCACAGTAAAACTTGAGTAAATGTACTTCCCAAATACACACACTTTGGTTTTGAAACTCACAACACTGACATAAATTAGATTTTAAAATATGTCTTACTCTGTGAGGATGAGGATGGAAAAGTCTGCGCACAATAAAAGTTGTTGTAATGATACAGAACAGAATAGTCCCAGCTATTTCTTTCCACCAGTGTAGGAGGAGAACAGGGTCCTTTCTGCGGACATTCTTGCTGTAGTCCGGGCTCTCCAGAACTCGGACTGTGATTTGGGTGCTCCCTATACTCCGTCTGCTCCTCTCCCTCTGGTAGTATGGTAGATAATAACCATTATCTGCAAAAACAAATATTAAAAGGTTGTTTTAATTTTTATTTTATTTTATTTTATTTTAAATATATTTTATTGATTTTGTACAGAGAGGAAGTGAGAGAGATAGAGAGTTAGAAACATCAATGAGAGAGAGTCATCAATCAGCTGCCTCTTGCACACCCCCTACTGGGGATATGCCCGCAACTAAGGTACATGCCCTTGACCGGAATCGAACCCGGGTCCCTTCAGTCCCCAAGCCGACGCTCTTTCCATTGAGCCAAACCGGTCTCGGCTATTTTATTTATTTTTTTTTTTTACATATTTTATTATTTTGTACAGAGAGGAAGGGAGAGAGATAGAGAGCTAGAAACATCGATGAGAGAGAGAGTCATCGACCAGCTGCCTCTTGCACACCCCCTCTGGGGATATGCCCGCAACCAAGGTACATGCCCTTGACCGGAATCGAACCCAGGACCTTTCAGTCCCCAAGCCGATGCTCTATCCATTGAGCCAAACCGGTCTTGGCTAAAAGTTGTTTTAATTTTTAAAAAGATAAACCAAAGTAGATTCATCTTTATTAAAAATCATCAATTTTCCGCTGAAATCGGTTTGGCTCAGTGGTAGAGCATCGGTCTGCGGACTGAAGGGTCCTGGGTTCGATTCCAGTCAGGGGCATGTACATTGGTTGCGGGCACATCCCCGGTAGGGGGTATGCAAGAGGCAGCTGGTCGATGTTTCTCTCTCATCGACGTTTCTAGCTCTCTAGCTCTTTCCCTTCCTCTCTGTAAAAAATCAATAAAAAATATATTTTTTTAAATTATCAATTTTCCTATGACTTATAACATAACATTTCTTCCTTTGGTAAAAGTCTCATCTCTTCTTTAAGACATTTGATAGCCTCATTTATTTGATTTTTTTCTTTTTTATTATGTAAATATATTTTCCTTTATTCCATAAGTATCATTAATTTTCCTTATACTTAATAATAAAACTAGAAATAATGTAAGGAGCATCCCACTGATTAACTCATTAATAACTCATTAAAGGATTAATTCATTAATCCTTTAAATGCAAGAAAAGAATTAGACAGCACTCAACTTCCTTGAAGGATTTTAAACTTTACTTTCATTTAGGGTCAATCAAATGCCAGATTTTACCATGAATCATTCTTCACAGGCTGAAAGGAAAACATCTCTATCATACTCCCTGGTTCATTCCACACTAAGTGAGTTTGTCTCCTTTATTGAATTTTGTGGGCAGATTACACAGTTCTCTATTACCCAGAATTTTGGTCAAATCAGATAAAGGCTGCTGTTTCTAGTTCAGAGCCCTCTGTTTTATTTTGTTTTTATCAATTTAAGTTCTACAATTATTTCCCAGTCCTAGCATCTAAGGTTACTGATGAGGAACCTGTTTTGTCTAATGCAGATGTGAGGACTTTTTTATATCTAACTGTTCAAAAGACTTTTGTATATAAATATATCCTAACTTTAAATATATATGAATGTATTTCACGACAGGGTTCACCTATTCTTTTTTTTTTTTTTTAATATATTTTATTGATTTTGTACAGAGAAGAAGGGAGAAAGATAATTAGAAACATAGATGAGAGAAAGTCATTGATCAGCTGCCTCTTGCACACCCCCTTCTGGGGATATGCCCGCAACCAAGGTACATGCCCTTGACCGGAATCGAACCCAGGACACTTCAGTCCCCAAGCCGATGCTCTATCCATTGAGCCAAACCAGTCCCGGCAGGGTTCACCTATTCTTGACTTTTGCGATAATTTATCTTGTCTACGAACAAAATTAAAACCTCATTTTATAGCATTTTCACATAGCTCTATGGAAACACCTGTTTTCTTCATTATACTGATTTTATTTTGACTACATTATATATGCTGATAACTGAATAAGAACTAGTAAGAATAGCTAATGCTTACTGAACACTTACTTGCCAGGCACAATGTTAACACTGTATGTGCATTATCTCACTTAGATCTCACAACACCCCAAGAAACAGAAACGAGGGTCACCATCCTTGTTTTACAAATGAAGGAACCAAGACAGTAAAGTTAGGTTCCCATCTCAGTATAGTGGCAAAACTAATTTGAACTCTGGCAATCTGACTTTGGAGTTTGCAACTTGGCTGACATTCACAATATTGTCTTTCACAGTATTTCATTTTCTAACCCCGCCCCCAAATAACTACTTTTCATTTGAATTACATAATTAATTTCAAATCAATACATAAATTAGAAACAAAACAGCATTTTCAATCCAAGTAATCATACTTACCATATGGATACTGCAAGATTGAAAGTGCGCCATTACTGTACTCTTCATGAGAAAACTTATCATTACTAAGACATTTGTCAAATTCATCAGACCCTACCAAGATAGGCGTTCTTGAAGGAGAATCTAAAAGAAAATGTAAAAAGCTTAATTGCAATGACTTTCATGAAAACACATGTACCTCATTCATTAAAAAAACCAGCTATTCAACTACAGTTTAGTTCAAACATGGAAGTCAAACAAATGGCTCAAGGTTCTTTCCCTTAAAAAGCAGTCTTGTAGAGAAGATGAATCCTATAAACAAATTAAAAGCATGTGATAAAAAATATACATAAGGGACAAAAAGATAACTGAAGAAAGTAGGTAGCCTAGTATTTTATTTTAACTCATTAAATGTTTCAAAAAATTTGATATGACCAGATAATTTTTTCATAAATATTGTTGAAATAGGTAGGTTAAGAACTGACACACAGGCATGGTTGGTGAATGGTTAAAAGTTTTTCTAAATTGTAGAGAGAAATATTTTATTAACATTGCATTCTAGTGAAGCAACTGCTATTTTAAGGAAACCATGTTCTAAATGCTAATTAAAATTCATTGCCCAGTCATAGTGACTCAGTGGCTGAGCGCTGACTATAAACAGGAGGTCTCAGTTCAATTCCCATTAGAGCACATGCCTAGGTTTCAGGCTCGATCCCCATTAGGGGGGGTAAGAGGCAGCTTATCAATGATTCTCTCTTATCACTGATGTTGCTAGCTCTCTCTTCCTCTTTGAAATCAATAAAAATATATATTTAAAAATAATAAAATAAAAAATTCATTAACAATTGCCCAGCTGGAGTGACTCAGTTGGTTGAGTGTCATACTGTACACCGAAAGGTTGCCAGTTCGATTCCTGGTCAGGGTACATACCTGGGTTACAGGTTTGATCCCAGTTGGGGTGTGTAGGGAAGGCAACTGATCAATGTTTCCCTCTCCTGCCACCCCCTTCCTCTCTGTAAACATGTGCTCAGGTGAGGATTTAAAAAAATGCATAACACTTGAATTATCTTTCTAATTTATCAGAGAATATAATGTTGTAATTTCTGTGACAGTCAAAACTAGGAATAGACATCATCATCAGCCCTGTGAACACGTTAATAAACTTTGAAGAAGTTTAAAACTCACGTATTAAGGGTTTCCATTTGATTGTTGGCAAAGGAATAATTTCATTTTTATTATTAACAGATTCCAAGGCCTTGGGATTTGTAGGAAACTTTTCTGAAATTCTGACAGATGTCTGCAGATACGGCTGGCCTCTGTATGTTCCTGAATCAACCAGAACATTATCAATTATGTTTGGAATCAAACACCAATAATTCTTTTTCAAAAAGGCTCACTTTGATTTAATAATATTAGGTTAATTATAGTTATCTTTCATGTATTACATAACTCTTCTCAGGGAAGAATCATGCTTGATGCATTCAAAGGACCCAAAGGCTATTCAATAAAAATATGGGAGGAAAGTTATACATAAGGTCCAATCAATGTTTCTCACTGAATAACAACTTTCAGTCATTACTGGAAAACTCACTCAGTAGGAAAATTTGAAGAAGTCAATGTATTCTTATGAGGTTAATAACTTAGATAAAGTAACATTCTCCTTAAGGAAACTTAAACATCTATAATTCCAGAGACATTGCTAACAATTCAGTTAAATATTACCATAAAACATGTGTGACACGTTAATCTTTCAAATTCATGCATTTCATTGAGAAGAGTGGTGAGCTTAAAGAAATTTATATCTGACCACCAACACTAGTTCAAATATTAGATTCAGAGTTTTTTTTTTTTAAGTTATTATACTAAGGCCTTCAATTGCCTAGAAGCACTTCAAAATTTTATTTTTATTTTTCAGATAAGTTGTATAGATGAAAAAAAAAAAAAAGCCCTAGCTGTTTTGGCTCTGTGGATAGAGCGTTGGCATGCAGACTGAAGGGTTCCAGGTTTTATTCCAGTCAAGGTCACATGCCTGGATTGCAGACTCAATCCCAAGTGGGGGATGTGCAGAAGGTAGCCGATCAATGATTCTCTCTCATCATTGATGTTTCTATCTCTCTTTCCCTCTCCTTTCCTCTCAGAAATCAATAAAAATATATTTTTTAAAAATTCATCCATGTCTTTAAAAAAAAAATCAATAAACATAATCTTCAAGGGAGGAACAAATTGTAAGTACAAATACAAATGTAAAAAGTTTTAGACTTTAAGGACATATCAGTAATTTGAAATCATCCTATATAATAAAGAGCTGATATGCAAATGGTCATTAGGCCCTCATGTCATCATGCCATAAGGACTCAGACACTCAACACTGGGAAGAGAGGAATGGGGACCAGCCAGACTGTGGCCTACGAGAGGAACAAGCCACCCACCCCATAGTCCTGGGTATTAGCAGCTATGCCTGTAGCTGCAGCCCAGGAGAGGGACAAACCGCCCCCTTCCACAGTCCCCTACAGCTGCGGCCGGCCTAGGCGAAGCTGGCCCAGGTCCTGGGTGCCTGCTGTCGGCCAGAGAGAGGAACACCTGGGTCCCGGGTACCTATGAGTGGCCAGAAGAGGGAATCCTGGGTCCCAGGTGTGGGGAGATGCAAAGGCAGTTATGGGTGATCAGGCCAGCAGGGGAGCAGTTAGGGGTGATCAGGCCAGCAGGGGAGCAGTTAGGGATGATCAGGCCAGCAGGGGAGCAGTTAGGGGCAATCAAGTAGGCAGGCAGAGGTGGTTAGGGATGATCAGGTAAGCAGGCAGAGGGGTTAGGGGCGATCAGGTAGATAGGCAGAGGGGTTAGTGCTGATCAAGCAGGCGAGCAGTTAGGAGCCAGTGGTTAAGCCATCGGTCCCAGATTGCAAGAGGTAGTCGAGCATCCCCTGAGGGGTCCAGGATTGGAAAGGGTACAAGCTGGGCTGAGGGACCCCCCCCCCAGTACATATCATAGCGACCATTCTGCTGTCTGGTTGATTTGCATATTAGCCTTTTTTTATATAGGATATATGTAATGGCAACATTTCTAAGCCTTCCTAATACAGGTTTCAGAGAGTAAAAAAGCTATAGTAATTAAAAGTTTCAGAATTGGTTAAATGAAACAAAATAGCATGAATGGAAACCAAAGTATAAATCTCTGTGCAATCTAAGGCAGAGAACATACTTAGGAATTAAAATTATTATCAGCACTGTGGAGAAATCAAATCTAGATGTTAATTTGTATTATCATTAGATAAGAGACACTTACCCAAGTAAACACTACTTTCTGTGGCTCCTCGGGCAGCTTCTACAATATCTTCTTCATTTTCTAAAACACCATCATTAGATGTATAAGTTGTATCATCAAAAAGACTAATGGGAATGACTTTGCCATCCTTCACCAACCAGGCAGATGCAATGGGAGTACAAAACTAAACAAAAGTGGAAAAAAGTTTAAAATAATTTGAAGCATTCTTTATGTATTCCAGCTTATAAAATGCTACTTATAATCACAAATTTATTTTAATTTTTTATTTTTCTAGATTTATTAAGGTATAATTCACAAAAATGTATATATAAAGCAAAATGTGATATGTTGATATATGTATACATTGTGGAATTATTAGCATAATTAAGCTAATTAACATACTTATCACCTCACACAGTTACTTTGTATGTGTGGTAAGAATTTCACAATGTGTATATACATCAAATCAGCACAATGTATAAACCAAATAGATACAATTTTTACTTGTCAATTTTACTCAATAAAGCTAGAAAGTTTTTTTAAAAAGATCTTTACTCATGCAAATTTCAAGTATACAAAACAGAATTACCAACTACACTCGTCACTATGCTATACATTACATCTCCAGAATTTAGTCATCCTGCATAACTGAAACTCTGTACCCCTGACCAACATCTCCCCATTTCTCCTTTTTCCTAACCACCTACACTCTGCTTCTATAATCTCAACTTTTTTAGATTCCACATATAGGTGAAATGATGCAATATTTAAATTTTTGTGCCTGGCTCATTTCACTTGGCATAATGTTCTCCAGGTTCATCAATGTTGCAAATGACAGTATTCCCTTTATTAAGACTGGATAATACTCTACTATAAAAATATACACATTTCCTTTAACCATTCATCCAATAATGGACATTTAGACTGATTGCATATTTGGGCTACTGTGAATAATGCTATAGTGAACATGGGAGTGAAAATATTTCCTTGAGATACTAATTTCACTTCCTTTGCTAATATACCCAGAAATGGGATTGCTGGATCATATGGAAGATCTATTTTTAATTTTTTAAGGAAGCTCATACTGTTTTCCACAGTGGCTGCACCAATTCACCTACATTCCCACCAACAGTGCACATAGATACACTATTATACACCATTCATCAACAACTCTCTTTCGTCTTTTTCATAATAGCCATTCTAACAGGCATAAAAATTTCTTAATGCATAGAGAACAAGTTAAAAATCCAAATTGGGATCATTTCCCAATATTCAATATGTTTGGTCAAACTGAAAAAGGAAGAAACAGTTCATAAATTCTCGGTGGTTTTAGTTACCTGATATTCCCATTCTAGATGTCCTCCCTTTTTATTAAAGGCCTTAACTTTCCAATCCGCAACAGAGACTTTTATCACTGTGTCCACTATGGCAGCTTCCTGTTCTTCCACATCTGAGATAATTTCAGACTCTTTGTTCTGACTGGGTTTTACAGTGCTTTCAATAAATCCGGCTCTAGTTTCCATGTCTGGAATATACTGAAGTTCAAAGTGGCCAACACTGAAATTCCACCTTAAATTTACAAATGCATGTTTTAGAAATTTACCTTGAAAAGAGGGGACCAAATAAAGAACTTTTCTAGAGGGAAATAGCAAACATTAAGATTTGGTGATGAAAAAAAGAACTCAACATAATCTTCAAGAAAGAAGCACTGCTAATTTATGCCACTAGAGGGCATAACTTTGTCCTGACTCTTTAGAGCCAGGTTTTGGAAAGTTGTGAGCTGACATCAGCTATGGGACAGATTTTCTCTCAAAAATTAACAAATGTTCACAATTCCAATCAGGATTATTAAAAAGAAAACAACACATAAAAGTCATATTAAAATGAGATAGCATGCAGTCAGACTTACTTCTTAATTCAAGTCTGGCCATATTTCATTTAAGTGCAAAGAAATTAGTATCTCCCAATAAACCAATGTAAAAGGCAAGATGGATACATCAATTTTAAAATTATGTGGAAACATGTCCTAAATGGCAATGTGACCAGGTATATTCTGAAGGTCACATACCTTACCTCCAATCTCTATTGACTGAGAGCTGGCAAGTAATGTACCCTTTTCTGAGTTTTGATGTCTTTATTCATAAAGTGATAATAATAATATTCCCTCCATATTTAATTTACAGAAAAATCAACTATTAACAGTATAATATCTTGTCACTTACATATAAAATGGCCTTAAAATTACATCTACTAAAAAATATATACTTAAGAAACATGGGTCTTAGACCTTAGACCACAGGCTCTTCCTTTATAGTGACTCAAAATTCTAATTAATTTGAACATCTGTTCCTATGGTGGCTGAGCAACGGGCAAGCACTCAAACACTTAAAAAATAAATAAAAAAGCAAATTCCTATCAAGGATACAAAAGTTTAGGTTGCCAGCAGATACAAAATGTAAGAAAATAAAATTTTAAAAAATGCATTCTTAACTAAGTTAGAGAAAACAATTTTTAGGAAAAGAAAATGAATTAATACTGCATCATATATAACTAAATTTGAAAGACTGGATTAGCCCTAGTTGGTTTGGTTCAGTGGATATAGCGTTGGCCTACGGATCAAAGGGTCCCGGGTTCGATTCCTTACAAGGGCATATACCTTGGTTACAGACTCCCCCCGAACCCGAGCCCTGGTCAGGGCTAGTGCAGGAGGCAACCAATTGATGTTTCACGTTGATGTTTCTCTCTGTCTTTTCCTCTCTCTTCCACCTTCCCTAAAAATCAATGGAAAAATATTCTCAGGTGAAGATAAACAACAACAAAAAAATGAAAATCTGGTTCACTTTCCAAAGATAAAGATAGGATCAAAAATTATTATTACTACAAAGGCAATTTAACATTTAAATATTAGGTTTTTAGGCCTAGCTGATTTAGCTCAGGGGATAGAGTCCAGGTTCGATTCCAGTCAAGGGCACATGCCTAGGTTGTGGGCTCAACCCCCAGTGGGAGTGTACAGGAGGCAGGTGATTAATGATTCTCTCTTATCATTCATGTTTCTATCTCTCTCTCTCTCCCCCTGCCTCTCTGAAATCAATTAAAAAATATTTAAAAATAAATAAAAATAAATGCTAGGTTTTTAAAAATTACACATGTATGTAATTTAAGAACAGCATAACTTATCCAACCATCTTATTTTTAATCATATATTTAAAACTCTTAATATGAACCAAACTTTGAAAAAAAATTGACCAAATAAATTTTATCTTCATACTTTAAGAAGAAAATAAACTAAATTATTATTTTAAAATCAGGGTAATCAGAAAAACTATGAAACTACTACATAACAAAGAGAAGTCAAAGTCAAAACAGTCCAAGCTGAAATAAAGCACATTAACTTTCTCTTGAGAGATTTTTGAATTGAAAAAATGTTGATCAGTAAGCTTGCTCTGAAAAATATCATTAACCTAAGACTAAATTCATATATCGACATTGAATGAGACTCCTTCTAGTTACCAAATCCTGAGCATATGGAGAGAAACCCAGTACAGAATTTGTTAATATTCATGAGGCCATTTTTAATTTAGGGCTTACATTTTTCTTGAAAGAATAGTATGCTTCTAGGGAAGCAAAAGAATTCAGAAAATCTGCAAAGAAAAATCTGAATAGTTTTAGTCTTGGTGTGATTCTAAATAATACTAGCAGCAACATGATCTGAATACACACTTCTCATTGCCATTGCGAGGCCCAACAGCTCTAACAGTTTTCTGGGTGCGTTGCAGAAGCAGGATGTCTTCTTGTTCCATTTCATCATTGTCCCATCGGCGACAACCCAATGCTGAACAGATGTACCTCACCTAAAAAAACATATAAAATTAGTTTAGCCCTAGCTGGTTTTGTTCAGGTGATAGCGTGTCAGCCTATGGACTGGAGTGTCCCAGGTTTGATTCCACTAAAGGGTACGTGTCCAGGTTGCAGGCTCAATCCTCATCCCCAGCAAGGGACATGCAGGTTGCAGCCGATTAATGATCCTCTCCCATCATTGATGTTTCTCTCTCTCTCTCCCTCTCCCTTCCTCTCTAAAATTAATAAAAATATATTTTTAATTAGTTTTAAAAAATATAAGTTACAGGAGGCCAGGGCTATTAAAAGAATCTATCATTTATATTTTTAAAAAAGAAAAGTATGGACGAAGCACCCAACTATTAAGAAGCATCTTAGATTACCAACCCCTAAAATTAGTTATTTTGAACCATAAAAGCAGCAATGAATATTCCAGGGAATGATTTTAAGGACTTAGATCATTTTAGTCTTACTTTGAGCATTCCATAGAAGATACAAAAAGAAATGGGTAACCAGTCTTGATATCTTAACAAGATCAATATAATTTCTGATGAATTAAAAACATAATCAACCTCAGAGTTTCCACATTACAGAAGTTTTTAAAAATTTGAACCTCTTCTAATAGCTGCAGTATTTAAAGTACTTCCTTCAAATCTTCATTAAAAGAAAAAGGAAAACTCTTAATATGAACCAAACTAAAATCCTAACAGAAAGAAGCATACCTACTAGAATACCAGAATTTTGCAGAAGCACATCAAATCAGGGACCTGAGGATCTGGTTCATGGCTGTGTTTAAAGAAAATTCTGAAATACACAGAGGACTTGAGGCCTCCTCAGTGCACTGCAGTATCAAGAGGTGGAGAAGTAGAAGGATCTGCAGCAAGTGCTACGGACCTAATACTTACACAGGGAATTGCCCAAGTATGAAAAACTCAGGTTCAAAAGGTAATTTTTCTATTTTTCCTTGTTTTAGTCTTAAATCTATATATAAGATAGTCAAATAACAAGGTGTTAGGAATTAAAAAAGATTTTTACCTTTCTAACAAATGTTTTTAATTAGTTATTCCTAATGATGGATCTTAATTGCAAGATGCAATTTTATTTTTTATTTATTTTTTAAATATATATATTTTTTTATTTCAGACAGGAAGGGAGAGGAACAGAAAGATAGAAACATCAATAATGAGAGAATCACTGCCTCCTGCATGCCCCTACTGGGAATCAAGCCCGCAACGGGGCATGTGCCCTTTCCAGAATAGAACCCGGGATCCTTCAGTCCGCAGGCGGATGCTCCATCACTGAGTCAAACCCACTAGGGCACAAGATGCAAACTTAGAAGATTATGATCACATCATAAAAGCTAATAATGGACGAAGTCTAGGGCTTATCAGTATGACTGTCACCAGACAAATCAAATCAAATTTGACCTTGGAAACTTCTGACTCTTTTAAAGTCTCAGTTTCCTCAACTTTAACATAAGTACAACTTTCTTCTTGAATCCTCTTATTATAAGATCAAACTACTAGTAGATAAAGAAATAAGTGGTATATCATTCTCATTAGGATAGTTATTAATCTTTGGAGGGTTCTTCATCTGTCCAAATGCAAACAAAAATATGTAACCGTTAGGAATAATGTGAGGATTTCAAAATAATGTGCAATAAATGCACCGCCACAGAGCAGAACCTGTTGACTTGCTCCTGCTGTCCTGGCTCTGCTGTTCACTGTTATCTTGGCTAAATCTAGTTTCTCTTAGTAATATTTCCCTGTTCTGCTTTATAGTTCTTTTATTATACCACATGATATCCTTGGGGGAAATTTTAATAAACCTCAACCAGAAATAGTATAGTTTAAGAAATTACTTGTATTACTATTAATTCTATTTCTCCTCAAATAAATTCAGTATTTTCACTCACCTTTCCACTATATGCACTGAGTCCATATGTAGTGAGAGTCTGCCCTCCAACCAAAACAACATCATCTCCAAACTTGTAAGACGATTCAAGAAGTGATTCAACTGTAAAAGGGACTATTTCCATGCTCTGACGGTCTTGGTCCAACTGGAAGAGGTCTCCATCCAGGGAAGGAATGATTATCTTATTCCCGAAAACCTAAAATAAAAGCTACATTTGAAAAGGACCTTTGCTGTAAGAGGAGTAACTACGAGCTGGAGGGACTCCAGCTTCCTTCTCAGCAGCACAGGTCACCATTGTGCTGGTGGTATTTTGTATCATCATAGTAAAAACAGAAGCAATTAAAAAGAACTGCCACCTCTCCAGGGGCCTCCATGAAGTTCTCCTGTTTGCTTTTTCTCAAATTGTTTGCCAGAAGTGTCCCATATGATATGTGAGTTACCAAAGAGAGTTCTGTGATCAAGTGAGTTTAAGAAGAGGTTACTACAGGGGTTCTTATAGTGATTAACATGCTAATGTAGATTTTTCTAGCCAGGGGACAGCATATGCAGTACTTTCCAGGCCTATTTTATCCAGGCCAATTGCAGTCATAAGCTCAGATCCAAGAACACAAGTTGATTCATGCAGTAGCCCATCCTTTCTTGTATTTACTTTCTCAAGTCAGCTGTGTATTAAAAGCCTAGAAACCAACTGGTAACTTAGTGATTTTATGTTCTCAGTTATCCTTCCTCCTTAACAATGTTTACTGAGGGCCTACTATGTGCCAGGTACTATTCTATTGCTTAGGACAGACTAATGAGCAAAATAAATATAATAAAATAAAAACAAATTCTGCCACTCTGGAGCTCAAACTCTAGTGTCTGCAGACAAAGTAATGAATAATTAATTATAGGGTAAGTTAGGTGATAAATGCCAGAGGGGAAAAATAGAACAAGATAAAGGGGGCTGGAAAATGTGCATGTGGTAGGGGAAGAGCCAGTCAGTGAGGTGTTAAGGGTAGACCCTGCTGAGAATGCAATATCTGAGCAAAACCTAAACCTGAAAGTTAACCACGCTTACTTCTGGGGAACACCTTTTACCAAGAAGGACTTAAGGTGCAAGTGTGCCCATCATAAGGAAAGGGAACTGTATTTAACGTATTGCTGTCCTATAAACTGAGACACCATTATATCCTCAAGAAGTGCTTATTGTAAGTCTAAGAAATATTTACCAGGTATGCTAATGATCTTACATTTGTTTATAAAATGGGTATAACAATAATGCACTCAAATCTAGTGCCCAGATTTTGTTATTTAATTCCAGTCCTCAACAAAGGCAACAAGGCTTCCCAAACAAGTGGTTGATACCAGGACTGACAGGGTAGGTATAAGTTCAGCCTTTAACATCGGATTGATTATTCTAGAAAGAACAGATGTAATTTTTTTTAACAAAAAAAAGAACAACAACAACAAAAAGATAGGAATATGCCACCAACAACATTTGGAAGAGTTTAAGTACCAAAATAATTAAGTACCGAATTATAAATCATTAGGGAAAATAAAGGAATTCATGAGTCATACTTAAAATAAATAGATAAAATAAATAACATATAGAGGAAAGGGAAGACTCTTATTGCAATAAAATGCCAAGTTTCTACAGGTAAATATGAAGGGAGAGGTGCAGTTGTAAAAATTAGCATTTTGTATTATCATAATAAAGATTGAATCAGGTCAAAAATCAGCTATGGTATTAAATCTAGGTGAAATTTTATTGAGAAGCAGGATATTTGAATGGTCTTAAAGTATTCCCCACACACTTCTTATTTACAAGAATTTAAAAAACAGTAATTATATAGGGAAGAATTCAGACAATACCTTGACTAGTGACCAAAATTAATAGCATCCCTGAATGATAAACTGATGCCCTGAGGGAGGACACATCACCTATGCAGAATCCTCACCAAGTATGCACAAACTGCATCTGAGCACAAGAAACACCAGACAAGCACAGAAGGAAATTTCAATTCTTAAATAAAATGGCAGAGAGACTGTATTCTTAAAAAATGTCAATATCATAAAGGACAAAGTCTGGATGACAAGATGTACCGAGATGGAGAATGCTACAATAGACATACATTATTAGGTCAACTGATTAAATTGGAATATGAATGGTAAATTAAAATATCAATATAATTTTATGAAGTTGATAACTGTACTGTGATTATGTAAGAGAATGTCTCTATTAGGAAGTATTTAATGGTACAGGGCCATGATGAAGATTTAATATATCTTCAAATGTTTCAAGAAACAAGGGTTATGAGGGATGAGGGGAAGGGAAAGAGAGAGGCACTCAGATGATAACGCAAGCAGGAGATTTGGGCAGATAAATTTGGGTATATAAGGGTTAGGGAGAGATCATTTTTATTTGGGCAAGTTTTTGAAGTTTGAAATTACCAAGATGGTTGCACTCACAGTGGAGGCAGGGATTCTGTAACACAAGATGGCTGTACCCACATGGAGGCCGAGTTCCCCTTAAGTTCCCCTTAAGGAGCCTTAATGAGCAGCATCCCGCCCTGGTGGGGCTTGACAGGGACCTCAGGCCACGGCCCCGTCCAACAAAGCTTGACTGGGACCTCAGGCAGCACTCCTACCTGAAGACAGGCCCCGGGACCTGAGGCAGTGCCTCCCACTATTCTGGTCTTGATGGGGGACCTCAGCCTGTGTGCCCCGCCCAAGGGGTTTGATGGGGTGGGTCCAATATTTAAGCAAGGTTATGTGTTAAGTGCTGTTATATGTCAGATGGCTATTGAATATTTGACAAAAGTCCTGAACTACAAAGGAAGAGCATATGCAAATGTCACAGACTAAGGGAATGTAATATCTAGCAGGTTTATCTAGTAGTGCTATTTTCCTTCATTATATCCACAATACACTTGCTACAACAGGTCGCGATGGATTTGTAAATATTTGGGGCCCAGTTACCACTTCATTGGCATGCCCTTCACCATGATGTCACTTGCCTTTAGCAATGAGGGGACCACACTTACAGCAGGTATGTATGAGAGAATGAGATAGATGGCACGGGGCAGGCATCCTGAAGATGTTGTCGGCATGCACTAAGGGTCAGAACCCATGTCCACCCACTATCCAGTAAGAGTAGAAATTACCACTGCGGAAAGCTATGTCCACTCCCTCAAACATGTGCATATCCCAGAAGGGACTAATATGGACACATTATTGGGCACCTGGGTTCATCCTCTCTCTCTCTCTCTCTCTCTCTCTCTCTCACACACACACACACACACACACACACACACACACACACACACACACTTTATTAGGAATTTATACACTGAGTGGCCAGATTATTATGATCTCTGAATGCATAATAATCTGGCCACTCAGTGTAGACTGACCACATAATTGGGATTTTAAAATCATGTTTTTTCCATGTATAAAAACTGCTTTGTGAGTAGTTAGAAAGAAGCAGAGGACTTAGTAGCCAGAAGCTGAGGGCCATTATCTCTTGGTCCCTTGATATATCAAGATTTGCAAGCTTTCCCTTATACATAAACACACCGAGTGGCCAGATTATTCTTTTATTCTTTTTTTAAACATATTTTATTTTTATTGATTTTTTAAAAAAGAATAAATATGTTTAAAAAAAGAATAAAAAACTTCACAAATTTATCTCTTTATCAGTTTTATTGAGATGAAATGACATAGCAATGTATAAATTTAAAGTGTACAATGTGTTGATTTCATACATACATATATTGCAAAATGATTATCAGCATAGCATTAGCTAACACCTCCATTGCATAACCATTTTCCATTTGTGTTGAGAATATTTGAGATCTACTATCTTAGCAACTCTCAAACACTGGCATATAATCACCATGCTGCACATTAGATCCCCAGAACTTGCTACTTGTAACTGGAAGTTTGTACCCTTTGGCCAGTATATTCCATTTCCCCACCCTCAGCCCCTGGTAACTACCACTCTACTCTTTTTTTTTCTCTATGTAAAGCTGAATGATTTCTCTATGAATTATACATTCCCTTTTACTTGGTACTATTTTTATATACATCTATATTTATATTATTATAACATTAATAACAATATTGTTATATATTATTTATATTGTATATTTGAATATATTTAAATATTAACATATATAACCCCATCTAATAAAACATCAATATGCAAATTATCTTCACTCCACTACACCCACAAACCACACCCACAAACCAATCAGGAACAAATATGCAAATAAACCCAACAAGATGGCTATGGCCACAGAGACAGGAGGGAGGCTTGGGTTTCCCCAGCAATGCAGGAAGCCAAGCTTTCCACCTGCCCTTTCTGGCCTAGGCCTCCACTCAAGGCTATAAAGTTTCAATGATAGAAGATACATAAATCCCAACAGAAATGGCAGCAGCCACAGAGCCAGCAGAAGGCTTGGCAATCCTCAGGGTACACAGTTTCAATTGTAAAAGAAAATAAATTCCAGATACCAGAGCCTCCACCTGGGTCACCAGGTGGTGTGGCTAGCCTGCAAACCACCACAGGCCCCTCGCCCAGGCTGCCCCACACACCTGATCAGGGACACCCTTCAGGTCAAACCAGCTGGCCCCAACCCATGCACTGCAACAGGCCTCTATCCTATCTAATAAAAGAGTAATATGCAGATTGACCACTACAACACACAAGATGGCTGTCCCCATGTGGTCAAAGATGGCTGCCCCCATATAAACCCAAGATGGCCACCACAAGATGGCCAGCAGCGGAGGGCAGTTGGGAGGGACAAGGCCTGCAAGGGAGGGCAGTTGGGGGTGATCAAGCCTGAAGGGGAGGGCAGTTTTTAAAGGTGGCCAGATCAGCAGAGGAGGGAAGTTAGGGGCAAACAGGCTGGCAGGGGAGCAGTTAAGACATCAATCAGGCTGGCAGGAAAGTGGTTAGGGGAAATCAGGAAGTCAGGCAGATGAGTAGTTGGGAGCCAGCAGTCCTGGATTGTGAGAAGGATGTCTGACTGCCCGTTTAAACAGGAAGTCGGACATCCCCCAAAGGGGCCCAGATTAGAGAGGGTGCAGGCTAGGCTGGACACCTCCCTCCTGTGCATGAATTTTGTGCACCAGACCTCTAGTATATAGATAACATTCTATGAAATCAGAAAAGAGCCCTTTAGTCCCAAACTCATTGAACACATGTGCTCCTCC